TATTGTTTAATCAAATTAAATAAAAATTAAATCCAGGATTACTATTGAATATTAGGTGAGCACATTATAGTCCATTGCAAAAGGGGACGCCATACAACAGGTGTGGACATTGCCCAATAACATTCCGCCATATATATTAATGTCCAATATCGACAGTACAAGGCTGGACATTGTTATGGGCTTTGACAATCCAACTTTTAGCTATACAACTCAGACATGGGTCATCCATAGTTTAATAATAGTAATAATAATCTTGCCAATCACATTTGGATTTTATTAGCCAGTTACGATAATATAGCCAGTTACGATAACATAGCCTGTTACTATAACAAAGCCTGTTACGATAACATAGCCTGTTACGATAAAAAAGTATGTTTCTATAACATAGTCTGTTACGATAAAATAGCCTGTTACGATAAAATAGCCCATTATGATAAAAAAAGCCTTTTACGATAACATAGTCTGTTACGATAATATAACCTGTTACGGCAATCTTATATTATTAAAAAATAACCAGTTAAAATAACATAGCATGTTACGATAAAATAGTCTGTTACTATAACATAGCCTGTTACGATAACTGTCTGTTACGATAACGGCGCATTACGATAAAATTGCCTGTTGCGATAATATAGCCTGTTACGGTAATCTTCTATTATTATAAAATAAACAGTAAAAATATTATAGCCTGTTACTATAACATAGCCTAACACGGTAACATAGCCTATTACGATGAAATAGCCTATTATGATAAGAAAGCCTTTTATGATGTGATCGCCTATTACAATGAGAAAGCCTATTACGATAAAATAGCATATTACGATAATATAACCTGTTACGATAAAATAGCCTGTTACAATAACATAGCCAATAACGATGAGAAAGCCTATTACCTTTAGATAGCTTATTACGATAAAATAACCTGTTACGTTTAAAAAGCCTGTTATATATTACGATGAGAAAGCCTATAACGATGAGAAAGCCTATTACGATGAGATAGCTTATTATGACGTGAAAGCCTATTGGCCTATTACGATAACATAGCCTATTACGTTGTGATAGCCTATTACGATGAGATATCCTATTACGATGTGATAGCCTATTACGGTTAAATAGCCTAATACGATGAGGTATCCTATTACGATAAAATAGCCTGTTACGATGTGATAACCTATTATGATGAGAAAACCTATTACGATAATAAACTATGAGAAAGTCTATTACGATGAGATAGCCTATTACGACGTGATAGCATATTACGATAATATACGATGAGAAAGCCTATTACGATAATATACGATGTTATAGCCTATTACGATAAAATAGCCTATTACGATGAGAAACCCTTTTACGATGTGATAGTCTATTACGATGTGATAGCCTATTACGATGAGATAGCCTATTACGATGTTGTAGCCTATTACGATGAGATAGCCTATTACAATAATATACGATGTTATAGCCTATTACGATGAGATACCCTTTTACGATGTGATAGTCTATTACGATGTGATAGTCTATTACGATGTGTTAGCCTATTACGGTGTGATAGATAATTACGGTAAAATGGCCTATTACGATGAGACATCCTATTACGATGAGATATTCTATTACGTTGTGATAGCCTATTACGATATTATAGCCTATTACGATGTGATAGCCTATTACGATGTGATACCCTATTACGATGTAAAAGCCTATTACGGAAAAATAGCCTATTACGATGAGGTGTCATATTTTCGGTGTGATAGCCTATCACGGTGTGATAGCCTATTACGATGAGAGAGCCTATTACGATAAAATATCCTGTTACGGTGATATAGCAATTATTACGATAACAAAGCCTATTACGATGTGATAGCCTATTACGATGAGATAGTCTATTACGAAGAGAAGGTAATTATTATGATAACAAAGCCTATTACGATATGATAGCCTATTACGATAAATAAGCCTATTACGATAACAAAGCCTATTACGATAACATAACCTTTTACAACGAGAAAGCCTATTACGATGTGATACCCTATTACGATGAGATAGCGTATTACAATAAAATAGCCTGTTACGATAACATCGCCTGTTACGGTAACATCGCCTTTTTTTATATAATAACCAGAAAAAATAACATAGCCTGTTACTATAACATAGCCTGTTACTATAACATAGCCTGTTAGATAACATAGCCTATTACAATTTGATAGCTTATTACGTTGAGAAACCCTATTACGATAACATAGCATATAACGGTAATATAGCTTGTTACGATAACATAGCCTGTTACGCTGAGATAGCCTATTACGATGAGATAGCCTATAACGATAAAATAGCCTGTAACGATAAAATAGCCTGTAACGATTAGATAGCAATTATTACTATAACAATGCCTATTACGATGTGATAGCCTACTACGATGAGAAAGCCTATTACGATGACATAGTATATGCCAATTATATAGCCTGTTACGATAACATAGCCTGTTACGATGAAAAGCCTATTACGATGAGATAGCCTAACACGGTAAAAAAGCCTGTAGCAATAACATGGCATGTTACGATAACATGGCCTGTTCCAACAATATAGCTTGTTACGGTAACATCGCCTATTATTGTAAAATAACAAGTAAAAATAACATAGCCTGTTACTATAACATAGCCTATTACGATGAGATAGCCGATTACGATAAAATAGCCTATTGCAGTGAAATAGCCTATTACGATAAAATAACCCGTTACAATGAGATAGACTATTACGATGAAATAACCTATTACGATAACAAAGCTTATTACGATGTGATAGCCTATTACGGTAGAATAGCCTGTTACAATAACATGACATGTTACGATAACATGGCCTGTTCCGACAATACAGCCTGTTGCGATGTGATAGCCGATTACGATAAAATAGCCTATTGCGGTGAGATAGCCCATTACGATAAAATAGCCTGTTACGATGAGATAGACTATTACAATGAAATAACCTATTACGATAACGAAGCCTATTACGATGTGATAGGCTATTACGATGATGAAGCCTATTACGACGAGAAAGCCTTTTACGATGAGAAAGCCTATTACGATAATATAGCCTATTACGATGAGATAGCCTATTACGGTAAAATAGCCTGTTACAATAACATGGCATGTTACGATAACATGGCCTGTTCCGACAATATAGCCTGTTACGGTAACATCGCCTATAATTATAAAATAACCAGTAAAAATAACATAGCCTGTTACTATAACATAGCCTATTACGATGAAATAGCCTGTTACGATAACATAGCCTATTACGATAACATAACCTTATACGATAACATAGCTTATTACGATGAGATAACCTATTACGATAACATAGCCTATTACGATGAAACAGCCTGTTACGATCATATAACATGTTACGGTAGCATCGCCTATTATTATAAAATAATCAGTTAAAATAATATAGCCTGTTACGATAACATAGCCTGTTCCGATAACAGCCTTGTTCAAGACTTTTCCCCCTTGATCTGCATTTAACATGTGTATATTTATTTATCATATGTTATTATTTCTTTCTGTTTACTTTTTCATTACATTGTTTTTATTGCTCAAGTAAACATGGTTTCTTTTTTATAATTTTAATTTTTACAATTCCCAATCCAACATTTGGTCTTAATTCGCAGCCGGATGAAAACCTGGTAACTATATTCATTCCTTGTTAACATTACCCCATTTATAATCTAAATGTTCTACTCAGTTCCCTTACAGTCCACTATTAATTTATTGTTTTTGAAGTTTACCCGATTATAATCTTTTTGGACTCAGATCACGATATGAAATGAACTCTTTACTTACTTTAATACTATATTTTTGGTGCCAATCAATCAAACAAGCTCAAGTTTATTAATTTTTTGTGCACTTAATAGACTATACATTCCTCCTTTTAGTTAAAGACTTTATTGAAAGAAACTTATTATCTGTATCTTTGATGTACAATTCATTGTTTTGACTTCAAACTGAGATTTTGTGTTTACTCAAGACCTTTTTATATTGTGTAGGCTGCTGGTAAATTTTGTGTTCTACTCCTAAAACTTCTGATTTTAAGTCATCTACATACACTCGCTCAACATCTCTAATTAAAACTCGTTTTAATAAGCTTAAAGATACTGTTGATAAATACTATACCTCAAAGGAACAACTCACCCCTATTCAAATTAACCAGCTTAATGCTCATTTAAATGAAATTCGTAAAAGAAAAGAAGAATTCGACAACAATTTGCAACGGGTTTTAATCTTAGAAGAGGATCCTATCTCTGACGAGACATTGTCTCAAGACCTGGATGAAATTGAAAGTTTATTTTCTCATATCGAGGCTACTATTGAGATCTTAATGTCCCATCCTGAACCTGCAAATTCTGCTATCTTAAGTGACTCTTCTTCCGATACTCTTCACCAACTCGCTGACGACGAAGGTGACTACTTTCCCGAGGCAGCGCAAGTACTTAGAACGCAAACCTACGTTGACGACATCATCACTGGTGCGGATACTAAGGAAACGGCCTTGAAACTTCAATATCAATTGGTCAACCTGTTACGAAGAGGAGGATTTGAATTACGTAAATGGGTCTCCAACTCTGATCGTCTTCTACAAGCTTTCCCCAAGGAGCATCTTGAGACTCCCGTCTTTCTCCAAGATTCTGAACAGCCACACTTCACAATACTTGGCCTACATTGGTCTCCCCACTCTGACTGCTTCACTTACAACCTTAACTTCCCTATGGACCCTCATCCATCAAAACGTTCGATCTTGAACATCATAGCAAAAATCTACGATCCTTGTGGATTTCTCGCTCCCTGCATCATGCAAGCAAAATGTTTTATGCAGTCACTATGGACCACAGGCTTATCCTGGGATGATCCCCTGCCCACTAACCTCGCCGAAAAATGGCATTCATTCCTAATCGATACTCAATATTTATCTCAAATTTCTATTCCTCGAGCGTTACAGTTTTCCCTGTCATGCACCGTGGCTTCGCAGATGCGTCAGAGAGTGGCTACGCTGCTGTCGTATATTTCCGCTGTCAGATGTCTAATGGTGACACCATCATTCACCCAATAATCTCAAAGACTCGTGTCTCTCCTCTCAAAAGAGTAACTCTTCCTCGCCTTGAGCTTTGTGCTGCTCATCTTCTCGCGCAATTAGTAGCACATTGTCATTCTCTCTTCTCAGATAAAATTGCCATCAAAAATATCTATCTATGGAGTGACTCCTCGATAGTCTTGACATGGTTACGGACTCCACCCTACAAACTCAAGACATATGTAGCCAACAGGGTTTCTCAAACTCAAGAACTTGTTCCCATCGACTCTTGGCGACACATATCAAGTACTGATAATCCTGCAGACTGTGCGTCAAGAGGAATTTCTGCTTCCCTACTTGTCAACCATCCACTCTGGTGGACAGGCCCTCCTTGGCTTAAGCTCCCCACTTGTCATTGGCCTACCTCGCACTTCATTCCTGAGGACCTTTCTTCGTCAGAAGAAATCAAGAAGACACCTTTAGTTGTTCTTACATCAGCTCCTCAAAAGGAGTGGGAACTTCTTTCTGCCTACTCATCGTGGAACAAACTCCAACGCATTGTCACTCTTCTTAACCGCTTCATTCACAATTGTCGTCATCAAAATGACCGCCTCAGTGGTCCTCTCTCATCGTCTGAAATCTCCAAAGCTCGTCTCAAGATCTTCCATCATGTTCCACAAGCCACCTTTGCAGATGAAATAGTGTCCCTCCAAAAGAAGCGTGACTGCTCCACCAGACTACAACGTGAAACACCATTTCTTGACTTTGGTTAAAGCACTTCGTTGCTTTAAGGCGGGCAGTATGTTCAAGACTTTTCCCCCTTGATCTGCATTTAACATGTGTATATTTATTTATCATATGTTATTATTTCTTTCTGTTTACTTTTTTATTACATTGTTTTTATTTCTCAAGTGAACATGGTTTCTTTTTTATAATTATAATTTTACCATTTCCCAATCCAACAAGCCTGTTATTAAATTTGTTAGATTATATTAATATGAAAAGTTAAAGAAAACAATTTAAATAATTTATAAAACAATACAAATGTACTTTTATTCGATGTTGAGTTATATACCTACCATCTATCCGACAGCAATTTTTATACTTTTAGTATTTCAAAACTATTTACAGTAAAAAATGGAAAGAATTATGGTATTGATTATAGTCCCTGATCTTATTCAACAAAGGGAAAACTCAAATTATACGTACCTATTAATGACACGAAACACTATAGGAAAAATGAAGTATAGTGGAGGTAAGGAAAGGTCGTAAAAAAAGACGTCTACAATAAGTAAATGTAAAGATTTAGGCCTAATTAAAACTAAATAAAGCCTAGAGTTCCTCAACAAATGATAATAGATCACATTTATGTTAGTGTATTTTGTTGTAAACTAATTTTGAAGTGAAGTTTAACACCATCATAAACAAATCAAACCCCCTACCTTTTGAACTCAGTACAGATATGCAATACACCACAAACTCTAGTGAAAACCATCACTAATAAGGTGATCTCAATGGATGTGAAGTCACATGTGGGACATGTCATGGTCGGCTGATTATATTAAATAGCTTTGAACTAAGCCAGTGTCAGTTCAATATAAAACATATTGTCTTGTTACTAAACTGTACGTCTATCGCTCCTCAGTTCTAAAACATTGAACTTAACAAGGGAAGCTATACACTCTAAAATGTGGGGATTATAAATTGTATTTGTTACCTTCCACTTTTAAATATCGCTTTTAGTATTACCAACTGCGATCTTCTTAGATTAGCAGTCAAGCATTGCTAATTCAGTTTTGTTTAACTAGACAACATTTCATTTTTAACATTTCGCTTAAATATTGCATTTATCTTAAGATAATCATAAGCAAATACATTGTTATTGGTCTATAAATATTTCCAGTAAAATACAAATTATCAAAAGGATGATAATTATATGAAGCGATAATGACGCGAACAATGAAAAGAACAACAAACTGATTTAATTAAGACCTTTTGTAAATAGGACACAATTGGGATTCAGGATCAATTAACATGTAATACAATTAAAATAATCATCTAATAACACGTGTGTATTTTATGATGTAAAACTAAATGTTTCAATAAATATTGTGTTTAGCGTAGGAGATTTTTGTTTAAAATAATTTAAACCAAATAATTGTAAAACCTTTACATTGTTACATAAATATTTTACAATTATTTGCTTATGGCTTGCAAATATTTATTACAATTATTTACAATTATTGCTTACAATTATTTATTATTGGCTTGTGGTTATTCTACCTAGTTATACAGCAAATGGCTTAATTTGCCAGTCTAAACTACTAATATATACATTATGTTCCTACTATCCTTAATAATTTTTGTACTTACCTCGAGGAAAATTTTGTTTTTTAACTTCATTTATTTTACTTATTCCCAAAACACTATTTTGAAATAATCACCAATGCATTTAACCATTGTTATTTTTCAAAAATAAATTATGGTATAATTCTTTGAAACTGAGCAACTCACTTGTTTTATAAATACTGTTAAATAGCTTACAAAAAAATAAATGTTGGTCCTATTTTTTTTATTCATTTGGAGGTGACAATAATTAATATCTACAACTACTTGTCCTGTTCACATAATTAAGTTAAATTGAACACAGTTCAGAGAGCTGCATTGCATTAATAGTGCTTTAGATAAACACGCCACTTAACAGGGTAATATAGCCATTACCCTCCATCATGGTAACAAATCACTCCGGGATAACCCAGTAATGGTATTGGATGCAACACGCTTTGCTCTTACGGAGATTCATGCAATAAACAAACATTTTAAGTCACATCGATATTATTTTTTAATTGTCAGTACTAATGTATCAAACATTTAACAAGGAACTAACTTAGCTTCGTCATTATCCATAGGTATATCAAGTGTGGTCTTTTGCAAAAACATAGACGAATTATTGAGTACAATTCCAAATAATTGCGAAAAAGAGAGGGAAGAGTGAGGACCTTCCAGAAAAAATAATTAGGGAGAATCGTAAGGGAATGAAGATGAGAAAAAACAGTTTTATTTTAAGAAACCCATTTTTCCCGATGGACTATAAACTGATGTAAAAAATTACCTCACTATTTTGCTACTCGCCAAGTAGTACATTAATAAATTGGAAAATACTGTGATAAACATTTATGGCTTTTTGTTATTACTTTCGTTTATTGCTTTTGTATGTGATATGGCACTGCGGTGGTTATTACTTTTTAATAGAAAGTTTTTAATAAAGTTGATTTATTTTCAAGTTATAGTCACTTTTTCCTTTTTTTTTCTAAAAAGCTATAGCCTTTATATAGTATGTTTAGAGTATGGTAAAAATACTACGGGTAACTTAAAAAATTTATCTTTGTAAACCTTTTTTTAGTAATATCTTGCTCAACAAACTATATAAAATAAACACATCGATGTGAAAGAGATAACAAACCGGTCACACGATGGTTTAGTACTTAGTACATCCATCAATATTACATTGGTAAAACGGTGAACCAACCAATCACTCAAACCATCGAAATAGGACACATTTAACTCTCATTAGTGGTTTATTTCTCTTATTTACAAATATTTTAACTCAGGGTGATCAGCTTATTAAGGATTTCCACAGCACATGATTGACTGTTAAATCATACAGGTCAAATATCTTACTGACTAAAATTTTATTTTATACCTTTGCTTACTGACTCATTCTCACTAACTCCTTTCATTAACTAAAAGAAAAGAAATCACAGGACACATTTGAGTTGTTTAATAAAGAAAAATTTCAATTCGTCATTCATTCTGTCAAAGTCACTGATATTGACAATTTATTTATTTCGGTAAAAATAAAAAAATATTAGCACCTGAAAGACTGGAGATCGCTTATAGTGAGTTTAAATTCTGTTCCATAATTTTCAACCTGATCCCTTCAACCTAGAATTTCAACTCGCATTGTATTATAATATTTGTAAAACTGTAGCATATTTTTTAAATAAAAAAAACAACATTTTTAAAATAAATTCCATTGTTAATTTATTTAAGTTTCAAGTTGTTCACTTGCGTATTCGTATAGGGAAAGGAAGTGGTGGATTAACTTGTTAAGTGCAACTTGAAGTGCCTTGAGTCGAACTTTCAACATTCCAAGACTTCAGCAAGAGTGAAACTGCTAATTCTGTTGAATATTAGTTAGTTCATGGATATTAAAACTCAATTTAAAGAACTGCTATTTAAACAAAAATCTCAATAAACTGGTTTTTTACTCTTAAAATTATTTTATGTTAAATTTTTATTTCCACAAAATCTCTTTGAGCTTCAAACTTAAAGAGAATTATGTAGTAAACGCTGTACTTAAAACTAATAAATACAAAAATTAATAATTTTGACAAAATCTAAAAGTTACTATATCACTATATGATGAGGGCTATTTACATGTTATATACATGTTTGGTCTATCTAATAATCATAATATTTAAGCCAAATGTTGAAAATATTTTCAGATAGGGCAATCATTCAAATTATTATTATGCAGGCAAACATTTGAAATCTATTTCGTTTAACTTATGTATTGCAATATGCTAAAAATAGCAAACGTTCTGCTATAGGTAAAGTTCAGAAGTGGCCATAACAGCTAGCTTTGCAGGGGGTTTCGCAATGAATAATAAATATGGACATGTAAACGTACTCCTCGATGGAGCTACCAAGCCCTTGGATTCACTCAAATCCTTAAGAAAGATGTGAAGTATCTTACAGTTAAAAGCAGCTTTTAAAGTATTTAAGTATCAGTACGGAAGCAGATTCAGAGCTAGATAACAAGAAGAATTTCAAATGCAGCACGTATTCTTATCCGAAATATTGTTTGCGATAAAACATAAATATAGGCAATGGGCATATAATGGATTCATTTGTTTGTGCAATAAAAAATATCTTAAACACTTTTACCCCTCATTATCTTCATTCATACTTAAGTTTATTGTTACTACGCATTATAGTAACTACAATCTTAATAAAAAGACCTTGAAAACCCTTGTAGGAAAGTTAGTAATTTTTTTATATTTAAAAAAGGATTAGGGTGTCTTAAATGTTTTAACCGAAAATATTTACGTATTTTAATATATAACCTAAAGTACTTGTTTTCTAATGATACCTATTTAACTCTTAAACAATCTTTTGTTTAACTTTTCAATTAAAACTGCATTTTGTGTAATTTACAGATAACTTAATCTACTATGCATTAGTTGTCTAAAGAGTAAAATTTTAATTTCAGATTATAACGTCATTATAAATGTTGGTACAAGGAAAATTGGCTTAAATACATTTGCATTTTTATTACAAACATTATTTGTTAATGACCTTAATGAGTAAAGTAACATTATTATACCTCATGATAATTAGTTTCTAGTTATAATAAACTACAATTTGTTTACTTTGGTAATTGCAGTGCTAGTTACATGTTTGTCATTTAATTAACATATAATTTAAATCGTGTGTACCTTAAATCTTTCACAAATCTTTCTAACCGACACAAAGCTGGCTTTAAAACAATTACTTCGTCTTTTGTATGATTATAAATAATACTCCACCATTATTATTACCTATCATGCACATATTATAAATGTGTGCAATATGAGGTATAGCTTAATAAATAAGATACATATTTCCAGACGTAGGATTACATTTATTCTGAGGTCTGGAAATCTTTTTAAAATTGCATTCAAAATTTATTCACGTTCTGCTTTATAAAACTTAAACTTTTATTTTCGCT